ATGATGATTGACGTGATGATGACCGATTATCATTATGATATCATTGTATGATGATTGACGTGATGATGACCGATTATCATTATGATATCATTGTATGATGATTGACATGATGATGACCGATAAGTATTATGATATCATTGTATGAGGATGATTGACATGATGATGACCGATTATCATTATGATGTCATTGTATGATGATGATTGACGTAATGATGACCGATTATCATTATGATATCATTGTATGATGATGATAACTGTGAAGTCATTCTATTGTGGTTATGGTGATAATGAAAAGGATGATGTCGTTCTAATATTGTTATTTGATGATAATGGTGATGATATCATTATCTTGTGGTGTTGATGACGATGATGGTGATGATCTGTGTTATGATGACAGGAATGATGATGATAATTGAGTGCCCTGATGATAATGATGTCATTCTGATGTTGTTTTTATTATCATGACAAGGATGATGATAATAATGATGAGATGATGATGATGATGATGATGATGATGATCAGATGATGATGATAATGAGGATGTTGACAATGGTGAAGATGATGAGCGTTTTGCTGAAACATGAGTAGTTATAATTGTTTGTGTGAGATATTGTATGTATATGTAATGTTAATGTAATGCAAATGTCAAAAAAGGCTTGAAAAATAAAATCAATCCTGACAACAATAACAAAAAACCCACCATCTAACTTCTTTATTTGGAATCATTTAAAGAATGATATACATTAAAACCTACAATTGTCTATTACGTAGACGTAAAAGCATTTCTATTGTATTTGTAGGCTTCATAACTACCAAAGAACCCTAATCAAGGAGTTTACAATTGACTTCAGATTTGTAAGTATATATTGTATACAGGTCCATATAGACTACCAGTTAAATGTCATGCATGTGAAATATTTGAACGTATTTACTGGCGTTCTTAATTTGCAATCTCGTACATACATATTGAATACAGTGAAATGTTGTTAGGGACCGGTAAAGGGCCTGTCACACCTAGCCGATTTGGGTCGCCGGAGCTATACCGGAGCACACATTTGGCGATTTTCGTGGATCGGTAGTAGAAAGGCAGCACAACGGTATCACGTCGCTAAGAGCTCTAGTACGTCGTCAGGACATCGGCGAAACATTTGTCATTACAAATCTGAAAAAACCCTTATATAATGTATTATTAAATTAAATATGATAAAACACCACCTTAGATAGAAGGGTTAACCACAGGTAAAAACACAGGTAAACACAGGTAAAAACACAGGTAAATACTGCCCATACTACTTAGAAACAGACTATAATCCTTCTAACAACATTCTCCCCCCCCATGCTATTTTAAAAAGTGGGGGAAACAAGAACAAGCCGTAGCAACGGCAGTCGACGGTAGAATGTTTTGAACATGCTCAAAAATTTCCGCTGTAGCGCTGCCGGAGCGAGCAACGGGACTACAACGACAGTAAATCGGCAGTACTCCGGTATGGCTTCGTTAACGTTAATGTCGGTAGAGCACCGGTAACGCCCCGCAATGGATCGGCGGCTCTCCGGTGGCCTCAATGTGTACCATACTGGTACCGATGTGATACCGTCGTACTACCGAATACCAACGAAGTAATACTGATGATCCGCCGATGTACTAAGGATGTACTACCGTAACATCGGCAGCGCAACTTTATCACTCCGCTATATCTCCGATCAACGGTGACACATCGTTAGAACACCGGCGGCGTCTCAGTAGATAGATAGTGTAACATCGGCGGCGCCTCGATAACACTGAGGTGACAGAAAAATGGTATTCGGTAGCACTCCTGCTCTTACATCGGCAGAACAACGGTATCACAACGGGAACGCCGGTACTTTATCGGAAACGCTACGGTCAATTTTGATTTTTCAAGTGCTTTCTCGCCGGAGCTCTGCCGATTTTCTCGCCGTTGTTAATTGCTCCGTTTGCAAATAAAGCTGTGTTTATCAGTCCATTGCTGATCATCCAGTTTATTTTAGCTCACCTGGTCCGAAGGACAATGGTGAGCTTATATGCCATACCGCAGCGTACGTCGTCCGTCCGTCAACTTTTCCTTTAAAACGCCACTTGTCCTGAACGGCCAAGTAGATTTTGACTAAATTTGGTCTGGAGCATTCTTTAGCCAATGGGACTAAATTTGTATAAACAGTGGGTGTGGCCCTCCTGGGGACAGAGGGGCGGGGCCCAATAGGGGAAATAGAGATTAAACCTTTAAAATCCTTCTTCTACCGTAAATATTAAGGAATTTCATCCCAATTTGGTCTGGAGCATTCTTTAGCCAATGGGGCTAAATTTGTATAAACAGTGGGTGTGGCCCTCATGGGGACAGAGGGGCGGGGCCCAATAGGAGAAACATAGCAAGTTCTTCAAAATTATTCTTCTTCTGTAGGAATGACAGCATTTTGTCAAAATTTCGATGAAGCACCCTTGGTTGAAGCGAAACCAATTTTGTATAAACCGTTGGGCTGACCCCCCTTGGGGCAGAGAAGTGGGGCCACATAAGTGATATAGAGGAATAGCTTTAATATCCTTCTTCTTCAATTGGGATGAAGGTATTTTGACCAAGGGGGCAGAGGGCGGGTTCTAATAGAGGAAACATAGCAAATTCTTCAAAATTCTCCTTTTCCTGTAGAAATGACAGGATTTTGTCTAATTGCATATAAATATAACCCCTGAGTAATCATGTAATACATGTACACTTCCAGCAACATCTGACCATTTCAACTTCAATTTTGCGAACATTTCCAGGTGAGCAATACAGGCCATCTGGGCCTCTTGTTTTAGTAGGTCGCCCCCGGCCTAAGATACACATATATGCCGCTGTACAATGACGATATTTAAGAGATAACCGTTTCCATTTAGGGCAGATGGAGTGGCTGTTGGACAGATCGCAGACGTTTGGAAACGTGAGCAGTGAAAACAAAAAATCCTGGTTTCCAAAAACACTGGTATTGTACAAATATGCATGATCTTTACAAATCGATGCATGGAAAGGAGAACGAACAAGCCAGCCTGTTTGTATCGACCCTATTTTATCACGACTAGAGAACTGATGTTGGCGATGTAATAGTTTCCCAACAGAAATAATGACTTCTGTGGCAAAGAAAAGAAGGTTCTGGTGTTTACTGATTGTAACTTCGTGTACAGTATTCTTTGTACTAGCCAGGTAAGTCTTTTTTCCTATTTGAGTATGATACTTTATATTATCTTCAGTTGCCGGATTCAGAGGGAAAACGGTGTGTAACTTCCCCTAAAAAATCAATTACAATAGGCCTAGACTCCATATATATGTCTTCTGGCCTCCCCAAACAGTTCGGGCACACTCGCACATAAACCTTGTTTAACTCTATCATGAATACAGTGTGGCTTCGCCTGACACCATTGGAGAGACATCTTTCAGCTCCAACCAGGAGTCTTAATAATATTTCATTTTAAAATATTTTATTGACAAAAATGTTGTATTGTCAAATGGATTGGGCAACAGGCACAGCCTATGTAAGCCTTCTCTTTCATTTCATCATATTTTATTGATTAAACAATAGGATTGAACAGCAGGCTAGGCCTATATAAGTTCTCTCCTTAGGTTGACATGACAAAGACAAAGATGAATGAAATGGTTTGTAAGAAAATATTGATGCAAATCATACATAATAAGTAGCATAGACACATATATATATATATATAGCAGATGGTATAGGGGAGATAATTCCATGTATGTTTCAATTACATATAAATATTTAATTGATATTTTTAGCTATACAATGCTCATATTAAAAAGTCAATCATAATTAATTACTAATAGGAAAGCAATGCCCTAATGATATATTAAACAGAGAAATTGCTACAATTGTTTTTTTGTTTTTTTGTTTTGCAAGTCATTAGTGCCCCCTGTTCATACCCTGCTGCTGTTGCATGAAGTAGTTAGAAGTATAGATCCATTTAGTATCAATATATATATCATTGGTAGGAGTGATAAAAAGTAAGGGATACAACAACATCAAAATATGAAAAAATAAAATGAGGCAATTCAGCTAGAAGATTTTGAAAATGTAGTATATGTGTAAGATGTATTGCCAGTGTTCTATGTGTAAATCTTTCATCCCATGAGTTTCAGACAAAAAGTCTCTAACGGCCTCTACCGTTCACATATCATCCACTCGAGAAGAATCCAGATTAAACCACAGAACACTAAGCATTCAAACTTAGCATATTTATGTTTTACTTTATCAGTAAAAACAGCACACAAAGCTTAATCCCTTAGGTGTATAATATCTTTAAACATCAATGTATATATAACAATCAGTAGAATCACATAATGGTTTAAGGACAGTATTTTATCAGTTATGACTATATATAGCAAAATTTATAGATTGTTTTGATTAATTAAACAAGTCTTCTTGTGTTGTATATATATTTAAGAACACTATCAAGTATAGATTTATTTTCAGTATTGTTTAACACAGTGCTTCCATTAAGAAGTGTTTTAGTATCAAGATTAACCGGACACACTTCAAAAATCTCATTTATTAAAGTTTGTCTCTCATTAGTATACATTGGACATTGTGAAAGATAATGTGTAGCAGTTTCATAAGCATCACCACACAGACAAGATGGAGACTCTTTCAAGTGATCTTTGAATAGATCATAGTTCAGGTTACTCGCCTCATTTCTCAGTTGACATAGGATTATGTTATCCTTTCTGCTTTCACAATTTTTAAATACATCCGAGATATCATTATTACAACATATTTTATTATACACCTTGGCCTTAAATTTATTAAGAGTAGGGGAATGTACTATATCATTTTCAAGTCCATTGAACTTGTTGCACATTACTGGGAAGAAGCTTTTAGCATAGGATTCTGTACGACATAGTGGTGGGTTAAACATTCTTACATTTCTTAGAGTATACCTATCATTTCTGGGTTATGTGTAAGAGGATCAATTATGTCATGGAGGTATGTGGGTGATACATTGTTAGTTATTTTATACATCTGAATTAGCTTATGGTTCATCCTTCGATCAGACAGGGATTCCCAACCTAGTTCTTTATATAGAGTTTGGTGTGATGTACGTTTCCTTAGACCTGTGATAATCCTTGCAGCTTCTAGTTGTACAGATTCTAATAAGTTTTTTAGATTGTCTTCTCTTCTCTTTATGTACATGTAATTATATTTTAAGTATGAATAAAAATAACCAGTTAATTAAGAAGTCTGTGTATACGTATTTGAGGCTTATGATCAATTAGGGCACAGGGGTTCGTTACACTAATGTCTGAAATATACATATGTTATAAACATGTAACACATATGCTACAATGATATGGGTCACAGCACACATGAACATACATCTTTATGTGTGCTGTGACCAATATCAGTTTAAGGAGGCTCCACCCTTTTGCAATTAACCAGCATAATTCAATTAAAGTTTCACATAATGGTTATGTCACTATGTAGAGATGATTTTATGACAATCTAAGCATTCCGATAAACTGGAGAGTGTTTTGTAAAAAATACCGAAAAAATGATTTTTTGTCAAATTTATCAATTTCACATTTTTTGAGTGTGTGGCATTGTTCAAAACTGTTACAACAATAAAACAATGAAAAGAAACATTGCTTATCAACCTTACACATATTGTATTTATCATAAAATATCTTAAACACATTACACAAAGTTTTTTTATTGAAATTGTATGGATAAAAGTAGTTATATACAAGCTAAAAGCAAACAGGACACATAGTTTAATACAAAAAGTGATAAATTGAACCAAATATACACAAAGTCTTAATAATTCGTTTATTTTACATTTTACAATCATTTTGATCCTGATAAGAGTTGTCTACCTTGAAAACCCCCCGGATATTTTAGTAGAGGGATAGAATTTAAACAATGACAGTTGTTTTCTTAATTTACCAAAAACGACAGAAATAATTAAATTTATGATATTAAAACTGTCAATTTACTGTTCTTTTATAGATCAGAATTACTCTCAGTCATGTACACTTTGGACATCATTCCATAGCCCGCTTACGCCTGGAATATTTACATGTCAGGTACATATGTAACCATAGGCTATCGCATGGTAGCATTTTATAGGGATGTTGATATTTTATAAAACACTATTTTCACAGATTTATTGTATATAGCATTTGTGAAATGATTTACCTTACAGAGCGTAACTCGCTCGACAACAAAAATCGTAGCAACCCCGAGCTTGTGAACTAGTGTTAGCACGTGAAATCAGTCTGCATTCGATGCGCCTCATAAACGACCTTCCTGAAGTCGTCTTATCGTATGTCAATGTCTTCCCGTGAGTTAATTTATGTCTTTGTATCATACGCTTTATTTCCAAGTAAGTCTCGTTATCGGGTGTTAACATATCATCGTCACGCACGTGTACTATTGTTTACCCTTTGTTACGATAATTTACACTACGATAATGGAATGCCCGATACGCAATACGGAAATGACGACACGAAAATACGACAAGAAAAAGCAATAATGTTCAACACATATTACGAGTTTTTCTGTCGAGTTTCAACTTTCTGCGTTTTGGTATATCTGTTTACGCGATAACTCCAGCCAAAACACCTTTCTTACTAAAAGCGCTGAGTAGGCGACACATCCACTCCCGTGGAATTCTTGTCTGAGAAAGCATTCATAGGATTTGGATAAGACTTATGTTGTGCAATATAACATGTATAGTTTATAAGGACATGGCTGGAGGTTTGTAATAAACATCAATAAATCGTGGGCTAGATAAAAGGTACATCAAATACTTCATTGCAATCATGTTTTTAAGATGAATTTAAAATGTCCCATGTAGTGATGAAATTATTTGAAATATACAGTTACCTACATGTACCAAAGTTCTGGATAACAAATTCCAATGTAAGGAGTCAAACTGTGAAATGTTTGAATGTGCAATATCACTGTGAAACAAATGTAATCTATTATTTATATATATATATACATCATGGACTTCTAACAATGAAAACCATTTCAAAATAGTACTGGACAATCAAGTGGATAGATCTAGAGCACATAAAATTTAAAACTGTTAATCAAAGTTCTGAATAAAATCTGCAAAACTTCAGCTATCGCTGAAAATCAGTTACACCACATTTGATACTTTATCCTCTGAGGTTTTCAGTGAAACATCAAATATTAAAACAAAAAAAACCACATAGCCTCATATGAAAGTCATCCTCAGTTTCAAAATACATAAAAACACAAAATATTTCATATAATAAATAAAAAAAAAAATGTAAAAGAAGCGAAATTCACGCTCTGATTACACTATTAACAAATTTTTTGATATTATACAACACAATGAATCACAAAATTACATCACATAGAGACAATGACGTACTTAACAAAAACTGAAGCAGGCAAGCAGATTTTTTTTTTCAGATATCAGCAGTTCTTAATTAAAATAACTATTTTTCAAAATTAGCCTCATTAAACTGGGTATGCACATCTCAACATTTCTATCTTGTAATGACTGAACTCAAAAACATTTTGAAATAACAAAATAGGACTGTGATAGTTTCCTTTAACGATACAGTTGTCAATTTAATTTTTCCCACATGAAAAGAATGGTCAAAATCCAAACTTTTTTTATGCAATAAAAAGTTGATAAACGCAGGTCGAGACGTGATCACTGGATCTGGTCACAGTCAGATACCGGTACTACATCTGCAGAATGGACACACACCAAACTACCCCCAGGACACCTATATTGCGGACATGCCTCACGGACTCTGCAATCAGTATTATATGTGTAACGTTTTAGGTGGCTGCCTGCCACCATCCCACTTTCTCTGACTGCCACCTCCGATGGTTGACGACATACGGACGGAGCACGGTCAGGGCGGAGATGTCATCAGCCTCTGATCCATGTTTGGCCTACCAAATGCAAGCTCACCATCCACCAGGCAACCAGCTAGAAAGTTATGGCCGCGTGACTCCCGCCATTTCTGTTTCAACCGTAGCCAAGTGTAGGACTACATTGTCACCAACGAAGTAGAACGGTCCAATGCAGAGGCATATAGGCCTAAAGCATCTCATCTGCTTTATGTCTTCTTTCGTCGACGCCGGGAGGCATATGTGTATCACTTGGACAACTGACAGACACGTGGTAGTGGAGGAACTCTGTCGTCAGCTTCAGGAATGTCGAAGACGAAGTATAAAACAAGTCAGGGAAAAGTCGTTAAAATAGCTCCCTCGCTTGGCTGTGAATACCAGTAAACTAACGCCGACATTTAGTGTCTCCACCATGTAATACAATTGTAACGTGCTCGGATTCTCCACCATGTAATAACGTGCTCGGATTCTCCACCATGTAATAACGTGCTCGGATTCCCCACCATGTAATAACGTGGTATTATGGTATATAATGATATGTGAGTACAAAATCCAGAGAGCTTGTTAGGTAGGGGCTGTCCCAATCACCTGCTCTCTGGATTGGAACCTTGTTTAAGTTTATTTGTATATTACGTATTATAACTATTCCTAACAAAATTATAATATTATGTCTATATATGTTTACCTTAAGATGATTGATCCCTGCTATGTAACTATACTGTGTAACTATATACTTGTACGATGTAATTGTGATATATGACACTATAATAAACAAAATTGACATATATAAAACATGAAAAAAATGTTACTATTTTATAAACAATAGATATTCCTTGGTAAATGTTGTCCGGATTTCCCCATGGAGTAAAAATACTATTTGGGGAAATTCGGACACTGATATCGGGAAATTCGGACAAAATAAAAGAGACAATTTATTGAATATTAAATCATTGTACCGAATAACATCGTTCAGTTAGCAATTATTTTATGTTCTTAATACATTTTTTGTTGTAACTATTTACTTAACTATGTTTCAGATTTCTACCTCTGTCGGATAATATCCAGATACAGCGTACTGCTGCGGTACCTTCTACGTATCTTTTTAGAAAAATGGCAGCTCAGAAACGTGATGCGATACTGAATACAAGAACTCTTCCAAATAGCACATACTCAAGGATAAGTTTTATCGACCGTAGACAAACTTACAAAGTTGGCGAAGTGTTGATAGTAACAATAACCCTGTACGATTCCACCGGAACAAGAATTAGGAGTGGCGGTGATATGCTGAGACTATTGTTAAAGGAAGCAAAACTAGGCGCCAACGTGAACGGGAATGTAACCGACAATGGGGACGGAACGTACACCGGAAAAGTTTTGTTGCCATGGCGAGGAGAGTCACAACTGGTCGTATACCTGTCCATACCACGCCAGCTCCACGAGATAGTAGTAAATGCAGCTAATGAATATGGTACCATGCGACATATTTTAGGAATATTTACTAGAAATAATACAAATATAAGAACGCCATGTGGACCGATTAAAGTGATAAAGGGTTTCGATTCTCTTTGCAATCTGACAGAAATGGCCTACAACATGCCTTGGTATTGTGTGAAGCCAAAGCCGGCGGAATTTACCTGCAAACACTGGACATTGTCTGTAACAGCCTCAAACTTCACGCTGTCACCAAGCGTAACACATGCATTACTGTGAGTATAAAACCAACAAACATTCATTTTAGAGCTACCGTGCCGCAACCTGTAGGGGGAAAAGGTTAAAATTGCAGTCATAAAATTCCATAAACGCTGGAAGTATATTGTTTTGAAAAGATTTAAAATTTCAATGACTTGTATTTATGTCATGGATAAGCGAACGAAGCCTTTTCCCGACGGCTACATATCCCACCAGAAGCATGTTTGAGGCCATGTTTACGTCATTTTCATGCATACGCGAATTCACAATATGTCACGAGAGAAGTATCCTACACAAAGTGACTATATCTTCGACTGGGTCAGAGGTAATGTTTACACAATAAACGTGCTGAGTGTAACTCTTAGCCGATTCCATTCTCACATGTCAAGTAAAACCCTCGCAACACTTAGTGGTGGACAAACCCTCTGCCATTTATACTCCGCCTCGACAAACACGAGCTTATGTCAAAACGCCGTGTGTATGCTATTAAATTTGCGCGCGTTTCGGAGAATAGCACGTAATATTTGTCCTATAGGTACGTAAGGATCGTATGTTAGGGCGAGTAATTCGTGCGATTTGGTATTGACCAATGAGGTTGGAGCATGTGTGTGGGGTAGGACACGGGTGGTTGTTATTGTGTCATTCTAGCTTCAGACGTAGACGGAACGTACACGTTTTAAATATATCGGCCGAGTAGCTACCTGCATAGAGATGAAGTATATAGAGGACCGGGCATTCTGTTTGGTTAAAGATTTTTGGGAGAAGAGCGATAACTCGGTATATCCGCTAGGTGGCAGTGGAGGGAATTATGAAAACTTGGCTATATCCGCCAAGGGTAAGTGGAGTGTATCGAAGCGAACACTTGTCTAGCGAAGATGCCTTAAGCGCATTCCATTGGTCTATGGCTTCATTGAGGTACACTTTCGCTTTATTACGCTGTTGTTTGGCTTCCAAATTTACATTTTTCTCGCCGTTTCTGACTTTAACATGGATTTAGCCATTATATCGTACGTGTCTGCGCATGCTAAATGTAATGTAAAATATAGAATTCTTTACGGTACGGCAGAAAATTAAGTTAAATTCCTTTTTGTTTTATATCTTCGACAAGTTTCACTTCCCGGAAACTTAATAACTTTCGCTATGTAAGACAAATAAGTATGCCGGATTTATCCTGTTGATAAGAAAAAAGAGAGTAGGTTAGCGGCACGGGACAATTAACATTTCCGCTGCAGGACCCTGTATAGAAATTGCGCGTTCTTTGATCAGTTTTAATTTAGCGCTTCTCCTCACTCCTCGAGTACCTGAGTGAGACCATAGAAGGCAAAAAAACCCCACAAAAATACGAGATGGGATGATATCGTTTCCTCATAAGATGAGCCGCTTAAATACTGAAAATATAAATATTGAGATCACTTAAAACGTATAAAACGGATTAAAAATATTCATGCATGCATGAACGCAAATTGGTTGCAGCCATATTGCTCGAGTCCTTAAACATGAAGCAAAGGTAGGCTTCATGGATTGGATATATCCGATTGGTGTTCATGAAGGCATTATGTTAAACCTGCAAACCCAGTTCTAAAACGAGGAAGATAATCGGACATTCAAGGAAATGAATAATGCCTCACCCTAGTGGATATATGTAAAATATTATACAATAAATATACTTGGTTGATATTTTCAAATGTAAAAGATATGTTGACCTTTTTGTAATTCTTTCCAACTATTCTGGTGATATAATTTCCTAACCCAAACCTAAGATAATGGACACATATTTATCGCAATAAACGAGGTATTCGAAAGAATACGAAGAATCGCTGAAACTGAAAAATAATAGGACATCGACGAGTTCGTTGTTCTGTTAGTAATTGGGTTAGGATATCGAGTATGAATTCCATTATCATTGTGACTTCTAATAACAGGGAAAATGTTTTTATGAACATAATTTGGAACAAAGGAATAACATTAGGAATCACTATTAACCGTCTGCTCAAAAATCTTGCAAGTTCGTATGTACATACTGGCCCAACTTCTGTACAAAGACTCTGCCGTCCTGTAATTCTGCCTCTTTTGCAGTAAAAATAAGATGAATTATCGAGGCTTATATGGCATTGACCGTATAATGGGCGGGTACGAAAGCCAAACGTCATTTAACTGGTATAAAATGTTATATGTTTGATTTATATTTTCAGAGCCCACCAACACAAAGTATTCCCGAAGAAGACTTTCATCACAGTGAAAGGAGGTAATACATGAGATTCGTAGAATATATTCTAACAAATTGAAATTAAGATTTTACAATCCTTTGACGGTCAGTTCTAAAATGATATTTTTTAAAACGTTGCAATATTCACGTCAAACGCAAATCCTGTCAATCAGCCATAAAAGGGAAACTAAGTTTTAAATGGACTTGTCTGAGGATGTATCTCCCATCGCTGTCATTGGTGTCCACACCCCTGAAGCACTGGACGAACATGCAAGGAGTTCGCAATCTTTGTCTTCTCCCACAATCTTTATAGGTATCCCAACTCCCGACTGGATAAACATACTACAAATTGGTAACGGCTTTGGTTATCAGCTAGTGGATAACACCCTGAACGCTATTGCATTGGACAATCTTCAAATTATGACGTCAGGTAACAAAGCTTTGTGACGTCATCTTCCATTATGACGTCATAGTTCATCACAAATATATCCCCGATCGGAAACAGTTATCTAAGGATTGAACGTCTGTCAAATTGCAGTTAAAGCCAATGTGAATTCAATCTGGGTGACAGATAAATAGAATGACATCTGAACGGACGTCATGACTTTTTATCTGTCACCCAGATTGCATTCATATTGGCTGAAACTACAATCTGACAGACGTTCAATCGTTATATTTACATTTCCTCATACAACATTTCTTTTATCAATTAGTCGGATGAGATTAATTTATATTTCCTGCTGCCGTAAGACCTCAATGGTCCAGTTCTTGGAACAGCCGCTGACGGCCATTATCGGACCGAAAACTTTCCAAAAAACAGTCGCCATTAAAAAATGTAACCAGGCGACAACTGTTAAATGCAGTTAAATTCTCAAATTTTATGTGCAGATTATTCTAATACAAAAGAAAGAATTGCCGTCAAAATGCGACTTGTATGAACCAAACGACCTCAACAAAATGGCGGCTATCGTATCGGTGGGAGTGGTTACTAACACTGACGTCACAGAAACCATGGTCCTGTGACCAGATAATACAGACTGCAGTTACTGTGCAGTGACTGCAGGCTGACTTTCCATAGAGTAAATGGAAAATGGGAAGGGCATATTTTAATATAATGTATAGTGTAGTTACTGATCCCACCCTATCAGAAGTAATGGTCTGGTAACATTCCCTTCAATAACCGGATGTGCACATGTTCAGGTATTTTCAAAATCCAAAAAGAAGAACGTCATAGTGATTGATATATGGCCAAGAATTTAAAGGTCACCAGAAGATGACATTTGATGCGATGTTGTCATGTTCTCCGTATGTAAATCAGGTTAATACTGAGTATATAAAAGATCTTAGTATCTTATTTGAATAATGAATATCAGATAAATTAGGATTTGCCTTACATTTCAGACAGAACGTCGATGAGGACAAGCGAAACTCCGTGCGATAAACGTCCTCGAGAACAAACCTGGGACTTTGGAACATCTGGCTTCTACTATAACTACACATGGGTGAATATCGGCTGCAGAAACCGATACAAGATGACCCGAAAACAGTATTCCAAGTGTCTCGCGCATCGCCATCTCGTGCTTATAGGAGATTCCAATGTAAGGTCATATTTAGAGTTTTTCACGAGGTTTCTAAAGCTGAAAATCACTTCTGGAAACCCCTTTGATAACAAACCAGATTTGGTGTTCGGTCACAACATTTCCCAATCGATATCCGCCATGTGGAGACCTCATGGTGTGCCATATTTTGCAGCATATCCTTATCGCAATGAAGTGCTTGTTCCTACGTCCGTGATCCTGGATCGTCTGAAGGTGCTCCGTGACAATAGACCAATAGTCGTCATCCATTTGTGGTCCCACATGCTCGCCATTCCCATCCACATAGTGGAAGAGAGAATTCGGGATGTGAGGAAAGCGGTCGAGCGTCTCCTGTCTAGAGCTCCCAATGTCACCGTTGTTATAAAGGGTCCACAATCGCATTTAGAAAGCCAAATCTATCTACAGGTGGATTTTAAAAGAGTCAGTTTTGAACGAATATGGCAGCATGAATTCAGATATTTAAAAAATAAAGTGATATACCTTAATTATTGGGACATAACTACAGGAAGTGAAAGTAAACAATTACATCCAAGTCAAAAGATACTTAGTGACATGGTCAACACATTTATAAACCATGTCTGTGATGTATGATACCAGTTAATTAGCGTCGAGACAAGGAGATCGAAAAAGAAGGTGTCTGTGCAATGTGCCGCATTTATTTCTGGGTTCAGTTTTCTATTTTTGACACAGGTTTTGTTGGCAAGCAATACTTCCTCATACAACCGGCTAAAATTCCTCCAGACTTAATTATATTTACAAATTCCTCCAGACTCAATTATATTTACAAATGTTTTATGGGGTTTTCCATCTATCTCCCTCAACCCAACCGGAACCCCTATACAAAACCCCTTCCCTCCCAGCTCACCATTCAAAACCATCAGGACGTTCCAAGAACAGAGGATAAGAGTGCTTTAATTAACACAGTCCACTGTGTTAATTAAAGCACATTGGAATTAACGTCGTGTTGCAAAGGCGAAGTTAGCTAACATTGTTTGTCAGTCGGTTCGTCCGTCCATCAACTTTCCATTATGGGAAAGTTACTTGTCTCAAAATTCAAATTACTATGCCATGTTCTCAAATAGGATTTAACTTTTGTTGATCACATAAATAAGGACGTGCTCGTCCATATAAACACTTTGTTTAGCATGTGCCGGGCTGATTTGAATCTGATACATGCAAAAATTGAAAACCAGGAGAGCATATAGAATATGCCCGATGCTCCTGTTATTTCTTTCTTGCATCACTCTTACTGCTTTTGAATATAACTGATGTAGAGAGGCTGGATTGGTCCTTGGTGTTTCAGACCCGATTCAATATCTTTAAAAATTAAATCTAATTGTATATATTCGTGCATGTTTTGTAAAAAAGCTGAATAATTACAATAAGTTTATATAATAATCCTAATTATTTTGTAAATGACCCTAGCGACTAAACAACGACTGTTCTGAGTACATCTTGACTAAATTAGATGAACAGACCACATGGGCTTTGTGAACAATGCTTACTTGCCGAAATAAACGCAATTTAAATTCCAATTTAATCCGCCTTGCTACTTCCAGTCGCCATTTTGTAAACAGGACCTAATCTCGAGCTGATGCGCGTTTGAAAGAGTTTAAAGTATTGCAAAGCTTCTAAACGATCGTGCCCAGAACATACTCTCTAAGGATGATGTTTTTGATAAATTTACTATCAGTTATTTACTATATTTCTTTTCTGTATCACTTTCATTAATTCATAAAAGAACA